CATCATGCTTGGTAAAGTAGAGGGTCAGCGAAAAAGAGGAAGACACTCAATGAGATGGATTGACACAGTGGCTGCAACAGTGGGCTCAAGTACAATGATTGTGAGGATGGCTCAGGACCAGGCAGTGTTTCTTTCTGTTGTACATAGGGTTGCTATGAGTTGGAAGCAACTCGATGACTTCTAACAACAACGACACCCCAGGATCTCATGTTGCGTTTAGTTGTCATGTCTCTCTCTGTCTCCCTCAGTCTTTGATAACTTTGATAGTTTTGAAGAATACAGTCTAGTTATTTTGTAGACTGTTGTTATTTTGGGTTTTCTCATGATTAGAGTCAGGTTATACCTCTTTGGCATGAATACCACAGAAGTGATACTGTGCCCTTCACAGTGCATGCTGCCAGGAGACAGAAGTGTTTGTCTCATTACTGATGATGTTAAAAATCTTTCTTCCCCACCAAGGAAACTCTCAGTTTTAATAGCTACTAAAGTACATTTGATGGTTTCATACATCATTTGATTTATAAACTCCTATAGAAATTAATAGTAACCTTGGTGGCACAGGAGTTAAAGCCATCAGCAACCAACCAAAAGGTTGGCGGTTCAAGATGTGACAGTCTGCTTCTGTAAAGATTTACAGCCTTGGAAACCCTATAGGGTCACTGTGAGTCAGAATAGATTCGATGGCTGTGCGTTTTAGCAGGATAGAAATTAATGGACAGATAGTCCATAGTAATGACATACATCTACTTTAGAATCAGCTAACCGAATTGTTTTGTTTTGAATGCTTTAATGTTTGATTCTAGATGAATAAATTTAAGCATTTAGCAAGTGTGAATTTTGACTGTCCTACTAATATTTGGGTCCTTTCAGGATCCTTTAAGTATAATTGATTTATTTACAGAGTTTGTGGATTAAATGTATTTCTGAAAAGTGTTGTATGTCAAAAACTAAATTTTCCCCATACATTTTGATTCTAAACCTACTTAATCTGCCATCCCTCTAGCCCCTAATTTATATTGTCTTCTGCTCTGGTTTTATTTTTTAATCCTCTTCTTGTTTTTTTGCCCTATTTTCATCCCAGTTTAGGCAAATATCTAAAAATATAATCTGTATTGAATTCCTTTAGCTATCATTGATAATAGAATTGAAATTGGTTTTCTTCTGTTTATTATTTTTGCTTCATATGTATGCTTCTTTCCTTCATTGAGGTTAAAGATGAAATTTTTTAAAGAGAGGATGAGAGTGAATTGTGAAAATATTTAGATTTTCAGAGAAACTAGAATAGCAGTGGCATCACTAGGGAGATTTGGGGGGCATGGACCTCACCAGGTGACACTCTCAGAGGGGGTGACGTCAACATGACTGTCTAAAATTTTTGTGCAGTCTTTCAGCAGAAATTTATTATTATTTATAAAAATATCCCTGTACTGTATCTTTACACA